GACATCGGGGAGTGAGATGGGATCCAGGAAAGTACTCACCCGGAAAAAGGCTGCAGACCACAGGAGTTCGGACGAGCAAAAGACCTTGAACGCGAGCTGAAAAAACCTGGACGTGAACTGGATGCGAGTTGAAACACAGATGCGACCTCAAGAGAAACACAAGTGACAGCGACTGGGGTCCCCCCCCCACTATTTATACTCACAGTGATCGAAAAGCAACGGCTTAGATCAAAGCCAAACCGACGGCCCACAGCCGCACCGACCACGCGTCCCCTGAGACTGAGACGTGATTGGCGCACGTCTTTCTGAAACTGACAGTGCGCCGGTGCACGCCTTCTCGAAACTGACGGAACGCCAGTGCATGTCTCCTCAATAAAAGCAGCAATGGCACGTTTTTTCAAAATTGAAAAGACGTCTGCTATCGCGCCTCCCAAGTGGCACGCTTTTTTGAAATTTTGAAATAAAGCGCGCGCCGTCACATCTATCGGCGCCTAGGCAGGCCGGCACGCTTCCCGCCTTTTGGACGCTCGAAGAAACCCAAGGAACCTGGACAACGCACATCGCGCCATCAGAACCAAGATCCAAAGGTCAGGGCAAATCTACCTGACACCTCGCGTACTCCCCGCGCCAGGGCAAGACCCTTGGCGCGAGGAGTGGGGGGCAATTGATGAAGGAAGATTTGGCCTGACCTCGCAATCACGCCACGTGGCAAAAAACAAGTAGCTCGGCACTTAAAGCACCGTACCCAGGGTGCAAACTCCAAAGGGAAGAAACCAGCAGTCCGAACTCCCCTCGAGGAGACCGAACTCCCTTCGAGGAGCCCAAACTCCCTACGAGGAGTCCGACCTCCTTACTAAGAGCTCGAACTCCCTACGAGGAGCCCGAACTCTCCCTTTAACCCCGAGCCACACAAAGCAGTGACCCGAACTAGCCCGCCTCATGGCAGTTCGGGACACTCCCCTATCCGAACTCAAGACTTCGCCTCGCACACCGCTCCAGCACTTCGCCTCCAGAACACCATACCTATCACCGAAGGAGTCTGTATCCAAGGGCAGCGCACCTGACTGACTTGGGATCTGACGCTTGGCAGCCGCACTTCAAACGGCCACCTGCCACCGTCACCTACCACCGCCATCTCCAGTTACAGAGACGGCTCCAACAAAAAGAGCAGTGGCGGTTCTGCCCCAGCAGAGGTGATGACACCCGAACTGGCAGAAGCACGGACGTAATCATACCCGACCTGACAGAAGCCTAGGAGTAAGTGCGTGAGGTGGTTATAAAAGTCTCTTTACCCCCCAAGAACATGGTATGCAAACTTTGCACTATCTGGTTTTATCTCGCCTTTGAAGGATTCTAACTTGAGCTTCGGAGCCTTTACACCGGGTTCCCCCTGGAGCTTCTTCATCTTCTCCATTTCAGGTTCCCTACTGCTCAGTTCAGAGGCAAGGTCGTTAACAGTTAAGACCGACCGAATTGCGCGCCATCAATTATAGACTATGTTTCTCCGATGACATAATATTTTGGAACTAGTCAAAACCCTACTCTTACAACACCATTAATTAATAATGTATGTGGCTTAAGTAATTAGATACGTTATATATTGTGTCCTTAGCATCATTGAATTAATATTAAATGAATTACTTGTGAAGCAAGAATGAAAATATGTGCACTATCCATAACAATAGCCGGTTGTATCGGGGTATAACCACAACCTAGTTGAGTCGCGAGTGAACTCATCCGAGTTTGTCGAGTTTTTAGCGCATGCTAAGCTACAGATAATGGGTCCAATGGTGTTTATGGTACTCCTCTGATAGAGAAACTAATTGTAAGGGTTTCGAGATGGGAGAAAAAGTAGTGGCAATAACTAGAAGTTGAAAAGAAACCACGTGTAAACATGAGAGGCAGAAATTGGTACAGATAACAAAATACCCATCCCTCTCCACACCAAATATCAGACAATACTACCAAACCAAGTAAGCGAGTGGTGTTGCTGAATGCAGAGTCCTGAGATCACAATTCTGGGTAGTGAGTGGTGGGTTTATAACTTTTATGTAATTTCTGGGTTTGGTTTTGTTGAAGGAACGTAACACTCCAAAAGAAGTATGAAATATCTGGTGCAGTGGCGCCTACAGGCTACAGCTACTACAGGTAGGGGATTTGTCTTTGTCCTGCTAGGAATCTGGAACAGTCCAGACTCCATAGACAAGTAGGAACTAGGATGGGTCATCCACCACAAACCACACTCAGTAGATTTCTTATTACTTTTGAGTTTTGAACCAGGTAATTAAAGAAGAAAAGGAGTGGACTACTAACTTCTGGTCGACGACGTGCAGCATCAAAATCAGGGCCCATTTGGCGAGTTGAGATTTTTTGCCAACAAAATGCGTTCCAACCCTCTACCAACTTGACTTAACGTCGCACATCTCATATGAGATTGGAACCCAAACATGAAAGCTTTTATGGGATCTTCCATGTATGAGATGTTCGAATTGAGATCATGTTAATAGAGAGTTGGAATGTATGTGTTTTGTTGGCAGGTGATCCGGACTCCCATTTGGCTGGGCTGGATCTAGAATCAATCAAGATTGATAATTTGATAGGAAGATACCAATTCCGTTTTAGTTTGGTTTTAGCTTTTAATTGTGGCTGTAAAGTAGCCCAACCCTAAACTCGCTCAAGTCAAATCCCCCAACTCAACTGGACTATCCTGCCGGCTGCCGTAGGTGTGATTCAAAGAACTCCTAATCGAGATCACGTTGGTGCCCCAGAGGACGCCTCATATGCACATATCACGTGCATTAGGAACATCTCCAGTATTTATCATGGGAAGATGTTCACAGTACACGGGTGGGAGGTGGTATTTATCATGGGGCGCCTATCTGATCTCCTAATCGATTAGTGCAGGTGGTACTAACAACCCTGTGGGACCCACCAAGTTGCACGTGTGATACTGTGTGGCAAAGATGGGTTATTGGTGAGTTCAGTTGCAGGGGTAGAGCCAGGGAATAAGATTTAGTTGAATGCTTTAGCTGTTTAGTGGGCTGTTGAACCGGTGTTAAGGTTCGTTATAAAATATATGGGGCCGACACATTTCACAGTGAGGTCCATGAATGTATTACTGGCTTGGAACCTCATCATTGGTTCCAACGTAAAAGTCCCTACTATTACACTATTTTATGTATACTTTCCCCCTCTCCACCCCAAATTGTTCATCCATATTTATTCTTCCCACCACTTCAAATAACTTTAGACTCAGTATGAAAAATACATACAAAATAATATAAAATACAAGGCTTTGCATTCTACATATTAGTATTTGTACTCTAACCATTACAGTTATACATTGGGAACATTACCCCATAAAAGACGAGGAGATATTTCCAATGTGAGACTGCGGTGGCCTGTTGGGACAGTGTTGATAGCATTTTATTAGTAGCGAGTGGGGCTGTTGTGCCAGCTATATATAGGCTATATAGCATTTGTTTGAGTAGAACCCTTATCCTATAATAATAAATAGCTCATGAGGATGAGGGAACCGATAAGACAAAGTTAAGTAACTCTACATTTCAATCATCCCAACAAGTTGAAAAATGAACCAACTCTCTCTCTCTCTCTATCTATCTATCTATCTCTATCTCTCTTTCTCTCAAGTGAATGCCGCCAGTACTGCAGTTCTCATCGTATATTTTGCTAGTAAAAAAATCAAAGACTGGTGTATGAGAAAATATCCATTGTTACGCGTGGAATAAAGCTATTCTGTGGAGCAGTGAAGAAAACGATGTGACTGGCAACCATACAATACCTTATTGAGCTTTCTTCCTTTTGGCGTCTTGAAGAGAGAGATTGGATAAGGGAAGAAAGGAAGAGAATGAGAAATGAGAAAGATATATTGTCCACTCCTAGATAGATCATAGATGATAGATCTATTTTCAATTGGAAAGTGGTCAATCAATTATCACCGCAATTTGCGATAGCAACAAGCTGAAGCAGCAGCTGCATTTGTGTGCATGAAACCAAAACCAATAAGAGAGATAACAAAGCAATATACACTCCACTCCATCTTTCTCTTTCAAACACGCGCACGCGGGGCCAGCTTGGAATTTATTCGCCTTCCTTCCCATATCACAGTTGCTATCCTACTTCAGATCAGACCATTCTTACCATTTAAGGAGAAAACTGGACTAATGGACTCCTATATATATATATATATATATATATCGACTATCGGCCCTTCATACTTAGGGAGAGTCAAGTCGGAGATAATCCTTTTAAAGCCATCATTCATGATTCGTGTATAGCATTTGGCATTTGGTAGGATAGCTGCTACAGCCTACACGGTCGGTCCCTCTCCCTCCTGCCATTGATATATAGCTGAATCTTGGTCCTCAGATTGACGATGTAGGTCATGGGTTGGATCATGCCCCACTATTTCTTTTTGATGGTTGTCATCATCTATCATCAACGAATATTAATATAATAATCCGATGATTGCACCGTTCAGAACTCAAATCCAACACTATGGCAATCTTCTTTTTTTTAGGGGGGGGGTAAGAAAAACATTCATTAATCAAGCAAAGCTAAACAATACAAATCAGCCATCCTACAGAGGCTTTTGATCCAAAGGGATAGCTAGCAACAAACTCCCCCTTGTTAGCTCCTTGCCTGATTTCTGCTGCAGTTGAGCAAGGAGTAAGGACCCACCTTCACCCTCCCACCCGATGAGTTACCATTTAAGTTGGTAATACGAGTATTTACCATCAAAGAACCTCCTGTTTTTAGGTAACCATGTACCAACAAAGAACCAGTTTGGACCGATTTTAATCCCAAGTTGGAGAAGAGCAGGAACATACAAAAATAATTCGTCCTTTCTACTATTTCTTACATAGCCCTGTAATTGTATGCACAGAGGATCTATGACAGCTAATCTGGATCATGGGACAAGTAGGTTGTCCAGGGAGAAAATCACAAGTCTTAACAAATTAGCAGTCGGGGAGTAAGTAATTAACAACAATTAGAAGAACAAAATCCATGTTCCTTTTTTAACACCCAACTATTGTTGAGTTCTTCATCTTCTATCCCATGAAAACAAGTTACTGTACAAAATATATGGAAAACGACGGACCATGCTACACAAGCCAGAAGGTCCAATTTATTCATTATCATAATTTTAGACATGTCATTTATACACGTACTTGTTCATTAAGCATCAGCAGCCTTGTCAACTGGTGCAGCCTCATCACCATTTTCCCCCAACTTGGCACGCTTTGCTTCATAGTCTTTCACAGCCGCCTTGATTGCATCCTCTGCAAGCATGCTGCAATGGAGCTTCACAGGGGGAAGTGAAAGATGTTTTGCAATCTCCCTGCATTATCATTGAAAAGTGCTTGCATCAGAAACAGTGTGGGATATAGAATTATTCCGAGCAGATTGCACTACAGGTAAACTAAAACATCTTTCCAGTCAAAAATAACTGACAACAAAATATGGCTATCCGGCCATACTAATTGAATATGATCAAAAGACCAATAATAACATGAATACAGAGTGTATGACTTCCTGTGGAAGTAGTCCACAACAGTAAGAGGCCCAACACTAGATTAGTCCTTGTAGTTGTACACTGTGCTGCATGTACTTTGAACAATCTGCAGATGGCAAAGACAACTCAGATGGTAATTTTCCCAAGTAACAAAGAAAGGATGTTGAACCTGTTGTAGGTACCGAAACAACTATGAATAGAACTCAATCACTAGGACTCCACAAAAATTCACGTTACCAGTTACAACTAGAACCAATTTTGTAACCTGGACCAGACCAGATTAACTCAGCCCCACATTCCTAGAGAGACTATTTCTGCCCCATATCAGACAGATTCCAAGCAGTTCAAATGGTTGTCCAAGTATTGTGTTGAGTGGTCCGGTTTGTTTTTATTTAGTTAGGAAGTTGTTGGGCCTTAGGCCCATTAGTTTATGTTTTTTTAAGTTGTGACTGTTCAGCTTTTAGTAGCCGCCCTACTAAGGGCATCCTTGTAATATCTCATCTTTAAGTTAAATATAAATATAATGAGAGGTAGGCGGCTAGGGTTAATTTACAATCCTGGTTGACCTCCTACTCTTTTCTTCTTCTCCTTCCTTCTCTACTGCTGAAATCTTCATCTTCCCCATCTTTCCTTTCACAAGAAACTTGACTGAATCAGCAAATAGTGATTTCTACTTATTGAAATTCCAATTTCCAGGTTAAAACACAAACCAACCTAACATCGAACCACACTTGGTTTATTTTGTTACAGATTAGTTGGCAATGGACCATGATGATGTTCTTTAATTTCTATATTCTATTTAGTTGTTGAGTGGTTATAAATTAGTGGGTTAGTAGGTAATGTTAACATGTTTACGTTTTAGCCTTTTAGGTTGGCAATTTTAATTGGTTAAGTTTTCAACTCTATATCCTTGTAATGGACAATTTAGGGGGAATGAAGTTTGATTTATGAGCAGTTGCTCTAGAGGATAATTTCCCCCCCTGAAGAGGCAAATCTTAGGAGGACTATCTCCCTCAATGCAGACTCTCCCAATTTCTGTTTAATTTTAATTTCATTAGGCAAGTATCACATGTTTAGACCAGTGCACCCACACATCCAACTATGTTGGATTGACCACCGATATGTGCTCTTCTTCATTTTTTATATCATGGTGACACAAACAATGTTTGGAAGAGAGAACCAGATAGACTGATAGACTCATTACTACCATGGTAACACTAACAAATATCCTCAGGAGGTTTTAATGTCATACCTCAGATAGAAAGAAAGAGTGATACTTATTTAGGAATGTGAGACCATATTCTGAGGATATCAGTTACAGCCCCAGTACTACCAGAACAAAGAGCATGGGAAGAAAATCACAGCACACATGCTCCCCACCCCCTGTAGAACTTCTAAGTGCTAATAATTCAGCCCTTGTAGAATTACCATGTCCAATAGGTCTGAGTAAATGGCAAGAATAAACTATGCAAACTTTAAATATTCCATCAATTCTTAAATTTCCAGGATTAAACTACAACTATCAAAATTCAGCTTGATGAGTCCAGTCACTGAACACTCTACTCTTACTCGAGTCCCAGCCATGGAGGATCTTGCAATATTTTGCCAGGACCTAATAATGTGTTGAGTACAAAAAGGTGATTTGCCTAAATATGCTATTTTCTTTAGGTGCTCCATTTTATATGAGCTTTTTGTCTAGTCTCTCCCCCCGAATTCGTTTTTCTCGTTTGTCTTATATATTTGGGTGGAGAATGGCTAGTGTTTACATGGGAGTATTGTCATGGTAGAAACCAAGAATGAAAACATATTATGATGGCAACATCATCTGTGCAAAGGTATGGTTTTTCACACCAAACACCACCTTGCAAGAAATAGGCAGCAAGTGAAACAATGTTTATTAGAAGTCCCCAATGATCTATACAAACAATTTGATAGCATCATTAGACACTAATTGAATCCAAAGTCAAGAAGCCATTTGATGAAGGGTGATTTGGCCCGACCTCGTAACAGGAAAACACGTGGACGCAGCCTGACTAATAGATGACAGCTCAGCATGACCAGCCCGCAGCAGAACAATCTCGGGTACCTATCTACCCCGGGCTAAAGTGACCTCGAGACAAGGTCACCTCGAAATGAGATCGCCTCGGTACCAGATCGCAACAAGAACACCTCAATGCCAAGGCACTTCAACACTCAGTCCAGTTCAGGACTTAAAGGCATCAGCTCGGGGATACCGACGTGCAACTATGAGGATCCCAAAAATCCCTCCGACGGTTCCCGGACTTCACGGGATCACACCGCGTAACAGCCAGTGTTATCTCCCCCGACCGATTCGGACGGACTCGATAAACCCTATAAGTTGGCAGCACTATCTCCCAACTTACGCGGAAACGGATCTCATCGTGACGAGAATCCCGGAACCGCTCTGCAAAACCCGCGAGGACTCCATCATATAAAGGTATTCGTGATTTTCCTGCTCTCAAGCTCTCTACTTTCAAAAGCAATTTTAGCTCGCTACTAGCCTACTGACTTAAGCATCGGAGCGACCTCACCGGGTTAGCATCCCCGGGTTCTCTGATATCCTTGCACGTTCAGTCCGCCGTCGTCTGGAAGCCAGATCACCTCCAGCAGGGAGCAGCTAGATCGCACTACATCAATTGGCACCGTCTGTGGGAAGCGCTATGATAAGCCTCTTTCCACCAAGAATCACAAACCCATAATCTATGGCATCCTCCAGCAACGCCGGACAAAATAATGAGATGAATGTCTCCGAGGGGCAACCTCAGATCCCAACCGTGTGCATTGGTCAGTTCACCATACCGTTCTCTGTGGTTGGGGTCCCGACGCTGACCATGCCTCAAGCAACTGTGCCAGTGAATGCCCCACTCCCTCCTGTAGTGGGTGCAACTTTTGTTGAACCATCTGTGGTTCCCCCTGGAGTTGGACAACATCATCTTGACGACCTGGTACACTGCGTGCGGGCTATTCAAGCCCAAATGCAACAGGTCCAATAATTTCAGCACTACCAGCAACAGGTCTTACACTATATTTACCAGCAACAGTTCCCACCGCTGCAGCAGAATCAACAGCCGGTTCCACCTCGGCATCTGGCAGTGAAGTAGAATCAAAAGTCCCGTCGTCAGAACACTCACCCTCCTCGCCGGGGAGAGACTTCCCAGATTCAGCATCCCCTTGGGAGCCAGTCTCGTCCCGCGGCAAGAGGGACAGGCAAGTTACTCCTCCCGCTTCGCAGAACGTGAACAGGTCGGGAGACACTCAGCCTGCCAGAGCTACTTCCCCTCAGCCCTTGCATCATGAAGGTTCGCTTGCAGGGAACCGGTTCGGGGTTTTGACCGCGGACTCCAGGCAAGGCCCTTCCGTTCACAACAGCCAACGTCAGTAGTCCGAACCACTCCATGCTAGGACTTTACCCGACCACACTGAGGTCAACAGTACCAATGTGGAGCCAGTCAAGAAGCAGCAAAGGCGGCGTCCTAAGGTACGTCGAACTGTAGTTCCAAGCCAGCTCGCTGGACCTAGTCAGCCTAAGCAGCCTAAAGGTAAAGAGGAGGCGAGTTCAGAAGCCACAAAGACCGCTCCCCACCTCTCCGGGTCATCTCCTTTGTCCTCCGAGCTCCTGGCGACCCCGATGCCGAAGGACTTCAAAGTGCCTCCGCTAGATAAGTACGATGGGTCGTTCGACCCAAATGATCATGTAGACTCGTTCCAGTCCCAGATGCATCTAGCTGGGGCTAACGAGTCCTGCATGTGCGTTGCTTTCTCTACGACATTGAAAGGAGTAGCTCGCACGTGGTACAGGAACCTCGCGCCAGGGACAATCAAAAGTTGGGCGCAATTCGTGCAGATGTTCGCCTCGCACTTCATCACCAGCAAGAAGTGCCCAAGGTTACAAGAAAGTCTCCTCAGCATAGTCCAGAGAGAAGGGGAGTCGATCTGAAGCTACATCAAACGCTTCAACGACAGTTGTTTACAGATTCCTGACTTGGATCCCACTGTAAGACTCACGACAGCAAAGAAGGGTATTACCCACAGGGAATTTAAATGGCACGTAGTGGCAAACAAGCCCAAGGACATCACTGAATTCCTCAAGCTCACCGACCAAATCATCGGAACCGAAGAGGAGATGAACCAGAAGAATGAAGCCCCAGCGGAGAAGAGAAAAAGAGAAGATGACAACCCGAACAACGGTGACAGCAAACGAAGAAAAAGAAAGTCCCCAACCAAGAGAGGAAACAAGTCAGATCGGCGTTCCCGAACTCCTCCGGTAGAAAGGACGAGCTACACGCCCCTCAACGCGAAGCGGGGAGAGATTCTTATGGCGATCAAGGACGCCTCCTATGTGAAGTGCCCACCTCGGTTGAGGGGAGATCCCGCCACTAGAAATAAAAATGTATATTGCCATTTCCACAAAGATCACGGTCATAGTATCGAAAACTGTAGAAATCTCCGCGACGAGATCGATGAGCTCATCCGTCGCGAGTATTTAAAAAATTTTGTACAAAAGGAGAATAAAAACCAGACAGATCGACAGGGGAAGCAAAGAAGAAATGCTCCCGAGTCCAACAGCAGGCAGAGTGAGCAGCCACAGAGACAATTGCCAGAAGAAAGACCGATCCGTGGAGTAATCAACATGATTACTAGCGGGTCCATCATCGCGGGCTGCACCTCAGCAGCAGGGAAAGCCTCGGTTCACGAACTGGAACGTGAGGAGCAGAATCCACCGAAGCGACTAGGCTCGAAGACCCTATATTTTTTACAGAGGTTGATGTGCGCGGGATTCAGTACCCCCATGACGATGCCCTGAT